CTTGCCTTAGTTCCAGGTAGGGTCTCTCTTTAACAAGCTTCTCCCCTGACTTCTTACACTGGCCTCAGGTGCTTTGGGGAATAAGTCAACCTCCCTCATCTCTGTGACTGCCCCTCATATACCTGTGCATTTGGCTTTTCCTGCCTAAACATCTTACTTTTCTCATCACTGAACTGCATCTTACTGAATAAGGCCCATTGTTCTAGATCAGACATGTCAAACTCGCGACGTCACGTGACGTCGTGTGACGTATCGGAGCTTTTTCGCCATTGCTGGCAATGGGGTGGGCGCAGCTCCGGTATGATGAAACTGGCCTGCGGGCCGGCAGTTTGACACCCCTGCTCTAGATTGTCAAGATCCTTCTGAATCTTGAGTCTATCTTTCAGAAATGTTAGCAGTTCCCCTCAGCTTGGTGTTGTCTGCAAATTTAATGATTTTTCCTTTTATCCCCTCATCTAGATTGTTAATGAAGATGTTGAAGAGTACTGGAGATACAGCCTTGAGGTACCCCACTGCATGCTTCCCTCCAGAGAGATATAATTCCATTGAGAACCACATGCTGAATGCAGATCCTTCTGGTGGCGTTACTGCTTATCCCACATTGTTCTCTCTTACCAAGAAGGCGGCTGTGATCTATTTTATCTAATGCCTTACTGAAGTCTAAATATACCATATCCCCAGTGTTTCCTTGATCCACTAGTTCAGTCATTTTATCTTGGAAGAAGATAAAGATTTGTTTGCCGTGATCTGCTTTTAACAAACTCATCCTGGCTTCTAGGAATCTTCTTCTTGTTTCTAGGTCAGTGATGGCGAACCTTTTAGAGACCGAGTGCCCAAACTGCAACCCAAAACCCACTTATGCATCATCGAGTGCCGGGTGGGTGTGGCCCATTGGCTGGGCGTGGCCCATTGGCTGGGTGTGGCTGCGGTGGTAACCGCAGACTGGGCGGGACTAAAAAGTTCAATCAATCAATTCCAACTTTGCAAGATTTTTTTTCCCGCGAGAAGTTGAAATTGATTGATTGATTGAACTTTTTTTTTTTTGCACACGGCAGTGGAGGCCTAAAGCGAAAAGGTTTTATAAAACCCAGCTGAAGGCCTAAGACTGGGGCAACGGTGCATGTGCCCACAGAGAGGGCTCTGAGTGCCGCCTCTGGCACCCGTGCCATAGATTCGCCATCACTGTTCTAGGTGCTCACAAATCTGCTGCTTGAATCTTTCCCATGATTTTCCCAGATATTAACGTCAAGCTGATTGGTCAGTAGTTTCCTGAATTCACTTTTTTTTCTCCTTTTGAAGATTGGCACATCAGCTCTTTCCCGGTCCTCTGGCCATTTCTCCCATGCTCCACTGATGTCATTCAATGGTTCCAAGATCACATCTACTGGGATGTAAACCATCTGATCCCAGCAATTTGTACTCATCCAAGGTGAATAGGTATTTTCTTACCAATTCCTTGTCCATTTTGACTTGCACTCCTGTTCTACCTCCATAATGCTGGTTTTGATAGGTTGGGCTATTTCTTCCTTTTGCGTAAATTCAGATGCAAAAGAGTTAAGCAGATATGCTTGCTTCCTGCTGCCTGCCACCTTCTCCCATTAGTGGACCTATCATTTCCTTGAGTTTCTTCTTGTTCCTTACATATTGAAACTTTTCCTGGTTTTTTTTTTGGCATTTGTTCCCAGTCTTAGTTCATTCTGAGCCTTAGCCTTCCTGACTCCCTCCTTGCAGATTTGGGCTATTTGCTGGTATTCTGTTATATGCCCTTCTTTCCATTATTTATACTTGTCTTTTTTGTCCCTCAGCTTGTCAGAGAGTTCTTTGTTCAATCATGCTGGTTTCATCTCTTATTTTTCTTACTCTGTGGGGTTTTTTGGGGGGGGAGGGTGGACAGTATTATTTCATTTTTCAGTTTTCCAAGTATCTTGTTTTTCTCTCTAGAATTTTGATCCACGGAATCCTTCCTAGTCTCCTACTTTGTTTAAGTCAGCTCTCTTAAAAGTCTAAAACACTGGTCTGTGGCTGCACTATGATGAATTCATGTGGTCACACTCCTCCAAAGTTCCTATAACTTCTACTCCCCCAACCATTTCATCCCTATTAGTAAGAATTAAGTCCAGTATAGCTGACCCTCCGGTTCCCTCCTCTATCATCGACAAAGTTGTCAGCTAGGCAAGTCAGAAGAAATGGCATATCTGTTAATTTGTATCCAATAAATGATCGAAAAGTCAATTTTGTAGTTGAGTTGCATCATCTTTTTGTAGTTGAGTTGCATCATCTTTATAAACTATTTGAATGAAGATAAAATATTGGTATGTCCACATTTGATAAACATTTACATGGGGTGCACTTACATTTTACACATAATGGTAGTTACTTGGCCTGGCAAATGATACATATCCAGAGATAGAAATGGGGGGGGGGGGAACCCCAACTATTCCTCTGGAAGTGAAATGCCAATAGTTTGTCTTCAACTATTTTTAAGAAGCTGTAAGATATGAACCGCTCAGAATCCGTAAGATGGAAATCAAAATAGGGCCTTAGCAAAGAAGGAAGGGAAGGAACTCTGAAACAGATCTGGAAATATTGAAATGATGGGATATAGATAGATATTTCTATATATTTGCCTACAATTGAGCACATCGGGTGCTGCTGATATGACTCATTGAAGAATTTGCTTCCCATGGGCAAAAGCCTCTGTGTAAATAAGCTGAGTTTATAACGAAATGCTTACAACCTCTGGTCAGTCTGAAAGTGTCACAAATGTTCTTATGCAAACACCACATGCACACCGAATGATATTTCCACCTCTGTCCTGGCCTTTGGTGGGAAAATCAGGAATCCTCAGAAGACGAGATCTGGCATTGGATGTCCCAAGATCAAACGTAGAGGTGATTCTGCACACTTAACATAACCCAGCACAGTTCCTGGCCATTCCCTACTTCCAGTGTCCCCCCAACCATTGCGGAGTGACCCCAAAAGCGGTCTCCTTATTGTTACAATGGCACAGAAATGGCTGCAGGACTCAGGGACCAGCTAGAGGTAGCCGGGGAGCCTGCCAGGCAATGAGGCAGGACCTCATTCAGCTCATCCAATTTTCGGGGTGAGGGGGGTGAGGACGTGCTGATTCTGCCCGCCTGTGTTTGTTCCCTAAGCCAGGCGACTCCGAAGGAGCTCCTGTTCCAGAAAGGGAGTTTGGAATCTTCCGCCTGGGAAGGCCTGCTCTGGAGTAAAACGCCTATCTGGAACTCGGAACCGGACTGTGAGAACAATCAACCAATGGAACAGAAGTTGCCTTCAGAAGTTGTGGGAGCTCCATCACTAGAAGCTTTCAAGAAGAGACTGGATTGCGATCTGTCAGAAATGGTGTCGGGCAGTGGTGGCGAACCTATGGCACGGGTGCCAGAGGCGGCACTCAGAGCCCTCTCTGTGGGCACGCAGGCTGTCGCCCCAGCCCCACCTCCGCCGTGGCCCCCTCCTCACCAGCAACCCCCCCCCTGGAGAGTTGCCCTGGCGCAGCCTGTGCATAGCAGTGCAGCCAAGGACATGGCAGCCGGGCAGCAGGGACAAGACTCCGCCCTCACGCCCTGTCACTTACAGAAGCTGTGGGGCACGGACAGAGGATGTGGCCGCCATGACGCTGCTGGGCCGCCTGGGTGATCTGCTGTGGAGGTGGTGGGTGGCCCTGCGGGCAGGAAACGTGGGGATGGGGCAGGGGCGAAGCGGTTGTTGGGCACTCGGTCTCTAAAATGTTCGCCATCACTGGTGTAGGGTCTCCTGCTTGGGCGTGGGGTTGGAGTAGATGACCTCCAAGGTCCCTTTCTATTCTATTCTATTCTATTCTATTCTATTCTATTCTATTCTATTCTATTCTACTCTATTCTATTCTAATTTTATTCTATTCTATTCTAAATTCTATTCTAATTTTATTCTATTCTAAATTCTATTCTATTCTATTCTAATTTTATTCTATTCTATTCTAAATTCTATTCTATTCTATTCTAATTTTATTCTATTCTATTCTAAATTCTATTCTATTCTATTCTATTCTAATTTTATTCTATTCTATTCTAAATTCTATTCTATTCTATTCTAATTTTATTCTATTCTATTCTAAATTCTATTCTATTCTAATTTTATTCTATTCTATTCTATTCTATTCTATTCTATTCTATTCTATTCTATTCTAAATTCTATTCTAAATTCTATTCTATTCTATTCTATTCTATTCTATTCTATTCTATTCTAAATTCTATTCTATTCTATTCTATTCTATTCTATTCTATTCTATTCTATTCTTAATTCTATTCCTAATTCTAATTCTAAACTCCGGGAAGCGCACCTGGCTCGGGCGCCGCCCCCCTTTCCCCGGGATTCCAGCAAAGGCCGGGGTGGCTGCAACAAATGCCCCCGGGGGGGGGAAGGCAGAGCAGGGGCTTCAGCCGCGGCCCCTCTTCGGACCCCGAGCGGAGGGGGGCTTCGAGCGCCTTCCACCGCCTCCCGTTCACCAGAGAGGCGTGGTTGGGCGGCCGGCCGGCAGCTGAGCCGCAGGGGGAGAAGCGCGGAGAAGAGCCGGGGAGCGCACCGCCGTCCAACAGCAGATTGCGAGCAGCCAATGCCGAGGAGGCACCGGTGGCACCAAAGTCCCGCCAGCCAATCGCCGCCCTCCGCCTCGCCCTCCGCCCCGCTGCAGCGTCACCCGGCGAGCAGCCCCCGGCAAGCGCTCGCCCGGCACGCGCGCCTTCCCCTCCGCCGCCCCTTCTGCCAAGGTCGCGCGGGAGAGCCAGCCAGCCAGCGGCGGGTTACTGCAGGTCGTGGCCGGCCGTTTAAATTCCCGGGCGAGGGCTTGGCGGAGGGACAGTGCGAAGCGCAGGCTCCAGAGCGAGCATCCCAGGACCGTCTGAAAAAGCCGCGCACTCTCGCTGCTGCTGCTGCTGTTCCGGGCGAAGGAGCTTCACCTGCGCCAGTTCGAGGGCCTGCCGACGCCATCGCAGTTTTTTTTTTTGCAGGAGGAGAGGTATGCCTTCCCTTCGGAGCCCTTAGCCGGCGAGGGAGCCCCTCTCTCCGCGCCCAGCCCGGAGGAAGAGGAGGAGGAGGAGGAGGAGGAGGAAAAGGGGGGGGGCGGGCTGCGCCATAGGATGCCCTTGCGCCGTCCTGGAGCCTTCCAGAAACAACGCCCCCCCCCGACTCCCCCGCAGGGACGTTTGTGTGTGTGTGTGTGTGTGTGTGTGTGTGTGTCCCCCTTTCAGACCCCCCCCCCCCCCTTAGCGAGCGTCCTTTACCAGCTGGGCTTTGCTTTCGCAGCGGCCGGGAAAAGGCGCCTGGCTCCCCGGAGGTGAATCCACGCCGCAGTGGGGAGGGGGCTCCCCCGGGCCGATCTGACGCTATTGCTGGGAGGGGGGGGAGTGCATGCGCGCGGGGGAGGGGGGTTTTAGGCATGCACTGGTTCTCATTTTTTGGGGAAGCTGCAAGCACTGAGCCCTCCCTCCCCCCCCCCCTTGAAAGGATGCTCCTGGGGTCGGGGCTTTCGTGGCGCATCACCCTGCGCTTTACCATAGCGTTTTACTACCAGTAGAGGGGGTTCACACAGCCGCTCAGTCTCCCTACTTTTCCCCACCTATGCCCGGGCAGTTTGCAAAGAAGCCTGTCGGGGTGGGGTGGGGGGGGGGGAAGAAAAGAGGGAACAGCCGCCTTGGATTTCTGAAATGGCGCAGCTGGAGAAACGCTCCGAGGTCGCCAGCCCCACACCCAGCGTGAGAATGGCACACCCACCGCGTTCTCAAAAGACTTGCCTTGTGCCGTGGTAGCTACAAAGCTGTTGAGGGGGTTCAGATGTCCCTCGTTTAAAATCTTCCTACGTTTCCCCACCAGCTCTTCCCTTTTGTTATTGGAGAAGCCTCCGGTTGTGTCTAATTTAGTTGATAGGCTAGGTACAGGGGTAGGCAACCTTGGCTCTTTTATGACTCGTGGACTTCAACTCCCAGAATTCCTGAGCCAGCTATGCTGGCTCAGGAATTCTGGGAGTTGAAGTCCACGAGTCATAAAAGAGCCAAGGTTGCCTCCTCTCCAAATGTACTTAGCAGCTTCACTGCAGTTTTCATGGCTGAGGAAACACCCCCCCCACATTAAATTAGACCAGAATCTTCCTTATAATTAAAGTAAGACCCTGTGAATTAACCATCATTTAAATCTAAGCCAAGCTTGAGAAACTTAAGTTCCTTCTGGTTGACATTCCTGTGCCAAAGAGAAGCAGGCAAGAGTAAAGGGGTGCCAACGTTGCTCATTTCCACAGCCTAACAACTATGTCCCCTGAACTGAAGACAACCCCCTAATTTTTCTGCCTGGCCCTTCGAGGCTTTGGCCTAGCCCTGCTACACTTGCTGAGAAGGGAGAGCAGCCTGTTCACCTGATAGGCCTGGAGACTTTTTTTTTGGCCGTGCCCAGCACTGGCACCAGCTTTCCTGAGCTGAAGGAGGCCTCAGGGCAAAAAAGGATCCAGTCTTAATTTTTGAACTGTAGTTACATAGCATTACTCATCCTTTCTGAATAACAGCACTTCACTATCTCTTAAAGATGAACGCTGGTTCCAAAAGCACTGAACATAATTTAGTGTATTAGTTTTATATTTTTGATATGGTCGAATGACTAAATAACTTTTCCATCCCATTCAGTTATAGTACAATCGTATATATATATAATCGTAAGACCTACTGAATTCCATGGGGCTTCCCTCCAGATAAATGTGTAGGCTGGAGCGTTTAAAACTGGCAATTTTAAGATGTGCGGACCTCAACTCCCAGCATGCTGGCTGAGGAATTCTGGGAATTGAAGTCCCTGTATCTTAAAGTTGCCAAGTTTGAAAAGCACTGGTGTAAAGGATTGTAGTCCTGATTAATTCAAATTTAATGTCCCTTTACATATAATATCTTACATTTTCTCTTTCTTCTTCTTCTTCTTGGGCCATATCCGTTATCGGTCGTTGCCGATCATGTTGCCGATCCTGTTTTTATCAGCAGCCGCACCAAAAAGTGCTGCTGAGTTTTGTCCAAACCAGTCCCTTAGATTTTGAAGCCACAATGTTCTTTTTCTGCCTGGACCTCATTTACCTTCAATCTTTCCCTGGAGGATTAAATGGAGTATGCCGTATTTTTCTGGGTGTCGCATCACATGTCTGAAATATTCTAATTTTTGTTTTTTAATTGTTTTGATGATTTCCCTTGGCTTTCCCAGGCGGCTTATCACCTCCTCATTTCTGATCTTGTCAACCCAGCTTATTTTCTCCAGTGTTGTTAAAATAAAACCAACCTAAATACAACCTTTCTGGTTTTCCACCTGCAAAGAATTCTGATTCTTCCTTTAGATGGAAATAGTTTTAACTATATTTTTAACTTAAAGCTGAGAGATTAATGCTCGTTTTCAGTTTTCTTCCAGCCAGCTTGGGGAGTGTCCTTGATGCAATCTAACCTCCCTTTTCTGCTTGATAGGACCAATAAGACCAATAGTAATTTCTGCATCTCATCTCAGTACCTAACAATTATGTGAGAAGAGATATTATTTCTCATATTCATTCATCTACTTTCAATCTCAATGACCCTTGAGTGGCTTCTGGCAGCATTCTTCCAGGGTCAGTTGTTCACAAGCAAGTTATTTTTTTTTTCAAATCCCCCCACTCTTGTCAGTGTTTTGGAGTGAGGTATCAAGGATAAGAATAAAAAAAAATAAAGAAGTACAGTATACTGAGGTTTCTCTAGTCAGGTGATAAAAGAGGACATCTTGTGTTCAACACCTAGTGACTTCATAAGCACATTTGTGTAATCTGTTAGTGTTTTCTTTGACTTAATGTCTATGGAAATTCTCAATCATCCAGATCATGGTTGTCCAAAAGGTGCTTTTTCCCAAAAGGCAACTTTTTCCATTGAAAAGGTTAGAACTGAAGAAGCTTGTTGGATGAGAAGCACAATGTTTTCAAAGAAAAAAAAACCAAAGTCCAGTTGCCTTTTGGAAAAAGCACCTCTGGGACGTTCTTTGGCTTGTTTTTCTCCTTCCTTATCTGTCTTGATCCTAATTATGTGCCATCAAGTTGATATCCGCTGTTAGCAAATACATAGACTTTCGCCAGGATGATCTGTTTGCATCATAGCCCTTCAGATCTTCCAATTATGCAACCATCACTGCTTTATAAGTCCATCCATCTTAGGGCTGCTCTTCCTGAAAATCACGGTAGTTCCCAGCCATGTTTTTATCATTTTATAAACCCAGACCCAGCTCAACTTGTGAATATCAACTAAGCCTAGTAAATACTATTACACAACTGGCCAACCAGTAATACACCTAGTTAAATTAGAAGGAGGCTGATGTATATTACTGAGGATATACCATTTGAATTTCTTTGCACGCAACTTTAATAAATAAAACTACAATGTGACCCAGAAGAAAATTGCATTGATTTCAATGGGATCTGCTTTTTCAGTTTCTTTATGCCTTAGATTGGATTTGTGCTATGCCTGTTAAGGAGCAAACCTGGACTTAAAATATTGTGTTTCACATTCAGATTGCGTTTGGATATTTAGCTGCTACAGATTTATGCTGTATACTCATTCTGCGTACATAACCTGAAGACCTATATTGTCCAGAACTCTTGGTATAAAGGTACATAATTATTTATTTGAAAACTTGCATTCTACCTTCTAGTGCAGGGGTCTTTAAACTTGGCCCTTTTATGACTCAAGGACTTCAACTCCCAGAATTCCTCAGCCAGGCACACTGGCTCAGGAATTCTGGGAGTTGAAGTCCATGAGTCATAAAAGGGCCAAGTTTGAAGACCCGTTCTAGTGCGTATAATTAATTAATTATATAAATGTATAGGCCACCCATCTCATTGTCTAGTGTCTATATATATATGTACCAAATAAGTGAAATGCGTAGGAACGATAAGTGAAATCTGTTATTGACTCCACTCGTGACAAAATTTCAATACTTAGCTGAGGAACGAGGGACTTCTGCTTGCATGCTCAAACTTTTTATCCTATGGAGCATTAGTTGCAATTACAGTTGGGTATCTAGCAAACTGTGTAAGTTATAATGCAAACAGTGGCCTTTAGACATGTATTTAACAGATCACAAATTGCCCATCCTTGTCTAGTCATACCATATACTGTAGCAGGGGTAGTCAACCTTGGCTCTTTTATGACTCGTGGACTTCAATTCCCAGAATTCCTGAGCCAGCTTAGCTGGCTCAGGAATTCTGGGAGTTGAAGTCCACGAGTCATAAAAGAGCCAAGGTTGACTACCCCTGCCATATAGGATGCAAGCATTCCATTGCCTTGTAGACAAGTGCCAACTTTTAAGAGTTTAAATGAAGAACCTAGAAAAGGGGAAAATGTTATTGGGTTTTGGTCAACACAGGACTTTATATGTAACTTTTTTTTCTTTATTTGCCAGGTTGCTGCAGCCCTTTCTACCATGCCTGCCTTTACTCACATTACCCAGAATGCTGTAGCTCATTCAGAAAAAGCCCATCCCACCTTTGAGCAAATGGGGTCAGAACGAGAGATGAAAGATGACATTTTTGACGCGACGTATCGTGAGAAAGAGGGTCCTAAGCCTACACCAAGATACGTCTGGAGGAACATTATTCTCATGTCTGTTCTCCATCTGACTGCTGTGTATGCCATCTGGTTCATACCTTCTGCAAAGCTACTCACTTTGGCGTGGGGTAAGCCAAAACTTCCCAAAATTTACCTTGGAAGGAAGAGTCACAGAATCATAGGCCTCTAAGGGAGCTTGGAGGTCTAGTCCAGGGGTAGGCAACCTTGGCTCTTTTATGACTCGTGGACGTCAACTCCCAGAATTCCTGAGCCAGCTATGCTTTTAGACAAGCTATGCTGGCTCAGGAATTCTGGGAGTTGAAGTCCACGAGTCATAAAAGAGCCAAGGTTGCCTACCCCTGGTCTAGTCCATTCCCCAACCCAAGGCAGGAATTGTCCAATCCTGGACAATTGTCTAAAAATAGTTATTTGGGTCAACTTATTGTCTTTGCTCCATAGGCTTCTGCTGTTTTCAGTTAGTTACTTTCCTCTCGTCTGAGCTTTGAACATCTCCCCAATACCTAGTCACATCCATCTGAATTCAGAAACACACTGTTCTAGGCAGCTACATGAATGCTCTGAGTTCAAAAACATATACAACTTTATAAGAAATACTCAGTGCTTTAGAATGTCATTGGATTTTGCTCTGTGCAAGAGAACTAGGTCTACTATGTAGTATTTAAGAATGGGACCTTGAATAATGTCTGCTGATCAATATGGACCATAGCATAGACTACTGTTTCCCCATACTCCTTGAGAGAATGTTATCAACATCTGGAGGGCCCTAAGCATAGTCAGCAACCAGGCGGATGGATCCAGTGATTTAATTCATATTTCCTTCAGGATTCACAGCAAGAAATCAGGCACTTCAGAATAGAATAGTTGGGGATAATTCTGGGAAATATCCAGCATCCTTCCTAGGATGACAAAGGTAGTTAAATGATGAATGAAATACTGTTTCCCAGATGATAAATCATTCCTAAGTTCTTCAGAAGGTGGTCAGAGAGTAAAATATTATATGTTTGTGATTTGCCTTTTAGGAATCATTTTTGAAAATCTGCTCCCTAAAATGTCTCAGTGGAGAAGTGCTTTGTCCAAGTTTTATAAAGTTCTGATGGTTGAGGGAAAGTGTAATAAGACAGAAAAGATTTGCTGTCTGTGATGTTCTTCTCCACTCAGAGTTTTTTGCTCCATGTTTTCAGAGGGCAGTTTTTAAATGACCTAATGTTGTATGGAGGTTGTCTAAAATGCAAGTGTGGTACGGTGTTTTCCACTAATCTCCCAAGAGTCTGGAGTGTAGGTGGCATACAAATATTTGTATAAATAAATACATAACTTACATATGAAGATGGTAATAATACATACATTTTTCATTGTTTATCTAGCAGCTTAACATGCCATGTAATCAACAGGCAAATAGTAAAAATGACCAGTAGTGCAGATTAATTTATTCAAATTTAAAAGAGGATAGGTAAGGAGGGAATGTGTTGGCTCTTTGTCTAAAAGCAGAAGGAGAAGGGGTATAAGGGCATCTCCTGATGGAAGCCACTCCAGATGGAAGAGGTATAAGCCACTTGAGATGGAGTTGAAGAAAATCTCCAGGGCTTTTTGAGCCCCCCTCCGACCCCCACTTTTTCATTATGTCCTCTGAAGATCAAAGTACGTGGAGGGTGGCGGGGGTGTATTGGATAGGAGTGAATAGTACATGAAGCAACTCCAGAAATTCCATCTAGTTAAGTGTTTGAACAATTTGCACAAAAGCCAATTCAAACTGAGAAATGAATTTACTTGAGAAGCAGAAATTAAAAAGAGTCACAGTGGTATAGAATATCTTAATTACAACCTTCTTTGACTCCATGTAACATTCTAAATACAGGGCTAGATAGATAGACAAAGCCACATCTCAGCCTATCTGTTTTCACCTTTATAATTTTTATCACTGGCAAGAACAATTGAACATTCAGTTAAGGCTGTTTTTTTGCCCCCTTTGGCTGCTCCAAGTCTGAACTTTGTTGACATGCATTAAAAACCGTCAGCAGAGACCCATAGTCATAACTGTATCCATGGAAAATGACCCTGTAGGGTTTGAATATTTGAAACCTGAACATTTCTGATCAAGAGGCAATCCAGACGACCAACAGTTTGACTTCCTTCTGAGAGCCACATGGATCCAGAAACTTCCTTGAGAAGTAAAAATAAATAAATAAAAAGTGGCCAAAGCTGGAATTTTCCATTACTTGGTCAAAGTAAAGATTGGGAGAAGGAAACTATATTGAAAAAATTGACAGAGAAATGGAAGTAACTTAGGAGGCGCTGAAAGTGGAAGAGGCTGCATTTGGGGGTGTCTTCAACAAGGAACAGGGAGAATGGAGGGAGGGGTGAAATGGCGAACTAGAGAGTATTAAACTCACCTGGCAGAGAAAGAAGACAACATTAGAACAGGAGTGTAATGTAGAGGCTGGCAGGCATTAACAAGGACAGGAAGGGGACAAAACATGCTATGTTTTCAGTGTGTGTAGGAAGACAGACACATTGAGAGGAGAAACAAAATAAAAGAGAAAGGATGGATTGGAGCAGGGGTCTTCAAACTTGGCCCTTTTATGACTTGTGGACTTCAGTTCCCAGAATTCTTCAGCCAGCATGCCTGGCTGAGGAATTCTGGGAGTTGAAGTCCACAAGTCATAAAAGGGCCAAATTTGAAGACCCCTGGATTGGAAGGAATTGCCCTTGCCTGCTGGAGGAAGAAGGAGATCTTGAGCAAAAGTTCCACCATTGTATCTTTGTTTTAGTTTGTAGACCTCAGCTCGGTATTCAAAACAGAGTCTTTTACTCTCCTGTTGGTTGTGCCCTGTGCAAACATACGGTAGTATCTATAGACTTCTCCTGAGACTTATCTACATTTCCAGAATATCTATGCTTCCCTCCCCCTTGCCCCTAAACAATTGTGGCTGATCCTCTGTTCCATTCTTTCTGATGTCTTCATCTGGGTTTAATACTATAATGACCATATTTCATGGAAAAAAATAAAAGGACAAACCTGAAAAAGGGGCAAATCTGAAAGAGGTTCACAAGGATAAAAAATGTGTTTTATAACTGGGCCTACAATTCAAGAGCAAAATCTAAAGGACAGCTTTCTGAAATAAAGGGCTGCCCTTTATAATAAAGGATGTATAGTCACTGGAGCTAGCACTCACAATTGAGCATCCATTATCTCTTCTTCCACTACAATAGCTGACCATTTCACCACACTGTACTTGATGCAAAGTACAAAGACTTTGACTGTGAAAACATACCACAAGATCTGGAGAATATTTGAAAGTCCAATACGGGTTGCTGGGAGGGAATCATGGCCAATTTGCTCAGAATGGAATTTAAGGAAATAATTTTCTACTTAAAGGTTGTCTTCTAAAACATAGGCAAGGTTTGGGAATGATAGCCCAATCAAATGTTCCTTTTTTTTATTTCCTATTCATTTATTTATGTAGCACTGCTTTTTTTCCTCTAATGGAGAGTTCTTACAAAAGACCTTTTGTTCTGAACAAGATGCCAGTTCTAAGTCATTTTCCTGAGAAGATGTTACCGCAAGAGTGACATCTGGTTCATGTTCAGGGTGCCATCATTATATAGATTGTCTCATTAAATGTTTCCTCTGGGAAGATAGAAGATATCCCAGTGGTATAATTTCAGTTTATCAGGAGTGAATCTGAGAACACTCTAGGAAACTAGCTCTGGGAATATCCTATGTAATCACTGCTGGAGATAATGGCAAGCATGATCTCTTTTCCTGGAAGAGCTTTGAAAAGCAACCAAAAATGGCTGTCATCAGTTCAGGTGTGTCTCCATATTACTCACATCCATATGCAGTCTGCCTTTGTCTTTGAGAATAATAAAGTAATGGAAGGGTAATATATTCAGGGAATGTTTGTTTTGAAATGGAAAATCTGGCCACCTACTATTTTGCTTTGGAGTATCATCTAGTTATTAGGTATTTTCTTGATGATAATCCTAAAGGGCCAACTGGGATTTGAAGATAGCCTAGTTTTCTACATTTTCTCTCAGCCCCAGATGTATAAATGGCCCCTTTGTTACAGTGATTTTAGCACCGTGACTTGACAAATCTTCTCAAATTATAATGTTATATGAATTTTTTAATTATAATCCACCATATGATATGTAAAACATCTGCTTCCCCAGCCCACAATGAATGCTTTTAACAGCCATAGATAGTTGTATGTTGTTGACTACCTCACCATCTTGGTTTTGTTGTTTACTTTTCTTGTTCTTTAGTTTTTAATTAATCATGTTATATATTATTGTTCGTTCTATTGCGAGTTGCCCAGAGTCAGGCAGTGCCCAATAAAATTAAAAATGTTTTATTTTGACACTTGTTCATGGTTTATTTTCTTTAGATTGCTTTTTCTTCTGTTGTTCTTATTTTAATACTTTGGTTATATATTTTTTTATCATTTAAGATAACTGTAAATCGTTTTGAATGATTTCCTGACAAAAGTGGAATACGCATTTTCTTATAAATAAAAAAGGCAATGTGCTTTGTGCTGCCTGTTGAATGTTAACTGGACAATTACCTTAGCTAGACAAACTTTATAAACATCTAGCTTTAGGGTTATTTGCTTCCTAGGACTTGCAGAACTAGAACACTAGAACATAAAATCATAAGGTTGGAAGGGACCTCGGAGATCTTCTAATCCAAACCCCTACTCAAGGCCAGGAGAGCTTATACCATCCTGGTCCAATGGTTGCCCAATCTGTTTTTGATAGCCTCCAGTGATGGAGCATCCACAACTCTGGGAGGCAAGCTGTTCCACTGATTCATTGTTTGGTCAGAAAATGTCTCCCAGGTTGGACCTCTCTTTAATAAGTTTCCTCCCATTACTTCTTGATCTGCCCTCTGCTGTTTCAGAGAATAAGTCAATCCCTTCTTCTCTCTGATAGTCCCTCAAGTACTGGAAGACAGTTATCGTCCCCCCCTAATCTTTCTCTTTAATAGGCTAGACCAGGGATAGGCAACCTTGGCTCTTTTATGACTTGTGGACTTCAGCTCCCAGAATTCCTGAGCCAGCATGGCTCAGCTTGGAAACCTCTCCCTTTTCCCTCAGCACGGCTGGCTCAGGAATTCTGGGAGTTGAAGTCCAGGAGTCATAAAAGAGCCGAGGTTGCCTACCCCTGGGCTAGACATTCTTGCCTCCCCGAATCGTTCAACTGTGATTTAGCCTCCAGATCTTTTATCATCTTTGTTGCTTTTCTCTGCACACTTTCCAGGGTTTCAACATCATTTTGTGTCGTGACTAGAACTGGATGCCGTATTCTAAGCGTGGCCTCACTAGTGCAGTATAAATTTGGTACTCTCATTTCTCGTGATCTAGATGCTCTCCTTCTGTTGATTCAGCCTAGGATTGCACTGGCTCTTTTGGCAACTGCAGTACATTGCTGGCTCATATTTAAGTGAGGGGCCAGTACAGTGGTGGGATTCAAATATGTGTGGGTGCCGCTTCTGGAAGTCCATTCTGGGCCTGGGCAACAAAAAATTAGCTACTGGTTCTGCCGAAGTGGTGCGAACGGGCTGAATCCTGCCACTGGGCCAGTAGGACATTTAGATCTCTCTCAGAGCTACTACTGTTGAGTCTGGTATCACCTTTTCTATACCAATGCATTTGGTTTTTGATGCCTAAGTTCATGCTTAACCTTACGTGTGTCCCCATTGAACTGCATCTTGTTAAATCAATCTGTTTTGTTTATTTGTATGGATGTATTCTGAGAACTGCTGACGACTCCTTCTTTTCCAAATTTATTCATTCTTCACAAATGTTTTTTGTGGGAGAGGTAACTTCCGAATAATAGATGCTTTCAGTTTGTTGCGTCAAAGGCTTCTTTCAGCAACAGGAAGCTTTGGAATGTTTTTGCTTTTAAAACCCCACATTATTTTATTCAGTATTCAGATGTAATTAGAAAGATTGCCAATTAAGCATTTCTTTCTAAGTTAACTAATTTGCAGGTTTCAATATTTACCCAGTCCTGTGAGGCTAGAAAAATTTGTAACCTTGGGAAGTTGTACAGGAAAGGAACACTGGAGTTGTTGCCGATTATAATATTGCCTGTTTCTCTTTTTTTTTCTGGGCCGAATCTTTTTTGCTTATTTTCAAATCAGTGAGATTAATGGAATGTTCAAAGTCATAAAAAATAGATGCAGCTGAAATACAGCGCTCAGATTTTGCATGTCCATTTGCTCAATGATTTCTAAAAGTAGTAATGTCAGATGAAGGCTTTCTTGACTGGCATCTGCCTTTTGTTTGGGTAGCAAGATGGAGGTTATCTAGAATTCTGTTCCCAGCTTTTCCTATTTATGAACCATTAGCAATTTTGCTAAGAATGTTAAAAGACCACTTACACCAGCCTTGAAAGATGTTTCCCTCTTCCCAAGTGATAAATAGAGGAGAACTGTGATGTGTGAAAGAAGGCTTTGACCCAGTCCCTCAGTTCCTAAGGTAGTTCAGCTAAGGTAGCATCCATTTAGGTCAGGGGTCTTCAAACCTGGCCCTTTTATGACTTGTGGACTTCAACTCCCAGAATTCCTCAGCCAGCATGCCTGGCTGAGGAATTCTGGGAGTTGAAGTCCACAAGTCATAAAAAGGCCAAGTTTGAAGACCCCTGATTTAGGTTTACAGTATTTATTTGAAAGAAAGACATTGGATGGTGAATTAGATTCTACCCGGTCTGCATCTTAGCTTTTGCAGGATTACTCCAAAAGGCTCCAGGTCAAGCCTAGTGAGTAAAGAGATGCAGTAAAATGGTCAGGATCCAGATACCTTCTGCTGACTTGAATAGGTAGGATGCCTTGTTAGCCAAAACAAACAAACAAACAAACAAAACAAGACGAAAACCTACCACCCCAAAGCCACCTGACTGGATTAAAGTGATTTATGCAAGAGTAAAATCTGAAGCCTCTTAAGGAATTACTAGGGTTAATGTTTTGTAATTTTGTCTTTGGCACGAGTGCTTACTTTGCAGGAGCTGGCATGATAATCTAATGAAAAGTGGTTTGGATGGGATAATTAATCACTTGTGATGTCAAAACAACACTTAAGTCATATAGTTCACGATAATCATACAGTTCAGACTCTTAAGAGTTCCATAGATAATGGACTTATGTCTGTAACATCTGTGATACTTCATAATAGAAGACAGGATCCGTTTCCTACACAAGGAATGTAAAAATCTTTTGTTGTGAAAGTGAATCTAGAAAGAATGTAGACAACTGTGCACTAGAGGGGATAGCTGACAAGTTGCATTGTTAGCTGAACAGAAATCCCTCTTCCATCTGATTTATATCTTTTTTAAATCTTGAAGACAGTTTTTTTTTTAAACTGGGTCTTTTTGGGGTGATGGGAGCAATACCTGAGTTATACTAAGATATCAGTTATATCCTCTTGACAGTTTTCCCCCCTCCCCTTTCTCTTCTACAGCTCTTTTGTGCTTCACCTTGGCTGGTCTTGGCGTTACAGCTGGAGCACATCGGCTTTGGAGTCACAGGTCTTACAAAGCTACGTTACCTCTTAGAATATTCTTGACTGTAATCAACTCCATGGCTTTCCAGGTAGGAAGTACGGTAGACCACCTGCAATTTGGGTCCGGGATTCTATATAGAACTTGGGATCTCATGCAGAACATGAAAGCTTCCTCCTATATCAGGGGTCTTCAAACTTGGCCCTTTTATGACTTATGGACTTCAACTCCCAGAATTCCTCAGCCAGCATCGCTGGCTGAGGAATTCTGGGAGTTGAAGTCCACAAGTCATAAAAGGGCCAAGTTTGAAGGCCCCTGTCCTATATTGTTATAAACAAGTTTCCAGTTTGCATTTTGTTTTACTTGCTCATTTTTTTAATTAATTTAAGGCTTAGGGCTAGCTATAAGCTATCATTTACCTTCCGTCAAAATTCGTGCCAATCTCCAAAACCCTTTGTCTGAATGTGTGGACAAAACATGGCTGCCAAATACTTCTGGCCAAATGCCACCAACTCTCAGTAGCCAACATCATCCTGTGATTTAGTCAGATGGGTATTATTTATTGGATTTCTATGTCGCCCATCTCACTATGCCAAGGGTAGGCAACCTTGGCTCTTTTATGACTTGTGGACTTCAACTCCCAGAATTCCTGAGCCAGCAGGGCTCAGCATGGCAACCTCTCCCTTTCCTCTCAGCATGGCTCGCTCAGGAATTCTGGGAGTTGAAGTCCACAAGTCATAAAAGAGCCAAGGTTGCCTACCCCTGCACTATACAGTGGCTTTGGGTAGCTTCCTATACAGTAAAAGCTAAAAAGTTAAAAAAAAACCCACAATTAAAATAGAATAAAAAGTTAAAAATTAAAATTAAAAAGCAAGATACTTTTGCTTACCCTAGAGCAGGGGTCTTCAAACTCAGCCCTTTTATGAGTCATGGACTTCAACTCCCAGAATTCCTCAACCAGGCACGCTGGCTGAGGAATTCTGGGAGTTGAAGTCCATGACTCATAAAAGGGCCGAGTTTGAAGACCCCTGCCCTAGAGTAAAGGATTAATAAAATATTTTTTCCTTCTTCCCTGTTCCCTAGGGATAGGCAGGAAGTAAATCTTAAGAGAGGTCCACTTTTAAACATTGTTCAAGTTATTCTCTTTGTGCTTCATCTAGAATGATATTTTTGAGTGGGCCAGAGATCACCGCGTGCACCACAAATTCTCTGAGACGGACGCAGATCCCCACAACGCAAAACGGGGCTTTTTCTTTGCTCATATTGGCTGGTTGTTGGTCCGCAAACATCCTGATGTCATCGAAAAAGGACAGAAGCTGGACTTGTCTGACTTGAAAGCTGATCAAGTTGTGATGTTCCAGAGGAGGTGAGCAAGGGGTTATGGCAGGCCTGGGAAATGAAAGGGATTTAGGAAAAGCGCGTGGCAGTGACTAAATTATAATGTCAGCTGAATTCTTTTCATCATCTGCTACAATTGCTGTCTGCTGTTGAATTGGTAATTGAGCACAAATATTTATTGCTTGGCTAGAGACTAAAATGTCTGAGCCATTACAATTCTTCTGTTGAATTATTCTTCTTTTTATTTGCTGCATATTATCTTCCATTTCATATCAGAATTGTATATGCATCAAGATGATTTATCAATTCAGAAAGTAATCCACCCAAAAATTGAACCTATGATTTCAAGAATGTTCAGTAATTATTGTGACAGCGTTCAACTCCATGAGTCAAAGGACAGCAGTTCAGATTTTTTACAGTCATAATTTTGAACATTTTTGAATGAAACTTACTAGTCTTGAAGAGGAAAGCTGTGTTACCACAGAGTGGCAAAAAATCAGAAATCTGGTAGCACGAAAGTTTAGGCCTTTTAATAAAATTTGTTAATTGGAAAAGGTGCTACTAGAGCAGTGATGGCGAACCTTTTAGAGACCGAGTGCCCAAAAACTGCCCCCGCTCCACCCCCTGCCCCATTCCCGCTCCACCCCGCCCCGCCCCTCGCTCCGCCTGCCCGCAGGGCCACTCACCCATGCAGCCCAGCAGCGCCATGGCAGCCACGCCCTCTGCCCGCATCCCGCAGCATCAACTGTGCGTGATGGGGCGTGAGGACAGAGTCTTGTCTATGCTGCCTGGCTGCCATGTCCTTCGCTGGGTTGCTCCGCATGGGCCACGCTCGGGGGCGACTGCTGGTGAGGAGGGGGTCACGGGGGGAGGCGAGGCTGGGGCAATAGACGTGTGCCCACAGAGAGGGCTCTGAGTGCCACCTCTGGCACACATGCCATAGGTTCGCCACCACTGTACTAGAGTCTGATTTTTGCCCTCTAGATCGGTATCACAAATAGTTTCTTAACTGAAAATGTAGAAATTGGAGCGCTGCTATGATTTCCATGCTGCTTCATAGTTTGGTATATTAATGCATCATTTTTTTCCTTCTCAGGCATTACAAGACCTCAGTGGTACTCATGTGCTTCTTGCTGCCTTCCTGGGTTCCTTGGTATTTTTGGGGAGAAACTTTTCTCATCAGCTTCCTGATGGCCATTTGTCGCTACACTGCAACCCTCAATGCCAGCTGGCTGGTGAACAGCGTGGCCCACATGTATGGCAATCAGCCATATGATCGTCACATCAACCCCAGGGAAAATCCCTTCGTGGTTTTTGGAGCTTTGGGTATGTACGGTGTAAGAAGCCTGCCAGGTTGAGGGTAGATGATGTGCTTCAACTCTGGTTTTTAATTTATTCTCCCATCAGGGACCCAATGCAGATCAAGACCTCTCTAGAAGGGATAGAAAAAGACCTAATCCAGTGATGGCGAACCTTTTAGAGACCGAGTGCCCAAACTGCAACCCAAAACCCACTTATTTATCGCTGGGTGTCAGGTGGGCGTGACCCACTGGGTGGGTGTGGCTGTGGTGGTCATGGCAGATTGGGTGGGTGTGGCCAAGGTGGGCGTGATCACCTCAA